TCTGTGTGTCTGTATTTGTATCTGGTGTTTGTATCATACATCTGTGTATCTGTATACTGTATCTGTGTGTTTGTATGATTTAAATCTGTGTATTTGTTTGTGTGTTTGTGTGTGTGTGTGTGTGTGTGTGTTGGTTTGGTATATTTCTAATTTGTATATAGCGTTAGATAATGCCTGGTTGTTTAAATGTAACTCCGTATTGGTCTCATCTTCTCCTCAGTTGAGTTTTCAAACCCTGAAGGCAAACTAAAATGAACACAAATTCGCATTCGTAACACTTTTGATCTTTTCATGAAGGAAAATGTTTTTCCAGTTTTCTATTTCATTTAAAATCGAGGCTATTGAGCATTCGTGTGTTGTGGCGTTTAGGTATGTATACACGTATATACACACACATATACATACACACATGCACGCACGCACACATACACACACGCGCGCACGCACACAAGACAATTGTGCAATGAAATCAACGAAAACAACTACTCCATCCCGTTTAAGATGTAGTTGTTCTAGTAATCTTGTCTGTATCGATAAATAGCGGAAAATAATTTTGTCTGTCTGTGTCTGTGTGCGTGTGTGTGTGTCTGTGTGTGTCTCTGTGTGTGTGTGTGTTTGTTTTTATTTGGATTTGTTCGTTTTTATCCGTTATTGTTCCTATCAGTTTTTACCGAGTCGATAATGACGATTATCCAACCGAGGATTTTAAAGGCTCGTTCGTTTGTTTGTTTGTGTGTGCGTGCGTGTGTGTGATTGTGAGTGCGTATGTGTGTTTGTAAGTGTATGTGTTTTGATTGTTGAACTGTCTATATGATAAGTGAAAAAATGTTTTCAACATGTATGCAAAAAACACACACATACATACATACATACACACATACATAAATACATACACACATACATACATACATACATACATACATACATACATACATACATACATGCATGCATACATACATACATACATACACACATACATAAATACATACACACATACATACATACATACAAACATACATACATACATACATACATACATACATACAAACATACATACATACATACATACATACATACATACATACATACATACATACATACATACATACATACATACATACATACATACATACACACAAACATACATACATACAAACATACATACATACATACATACATACATACATACATACATACATACATACATACATACATACATACATACAAACATACATACATACATACATACATACATACACACAAACATTCATACATACAAGCATACATACATACATACATACATACATACATACATACATACATACATACATACATACATACATACATACAAACATACATACATACAAACATACAAACATACATACACATACATACATACAGACATACACATACAAACATACATACATACATACATACATACAAACATACATACACATACATACATACAGACATACACATACAAACATACATACATACAAACCTAATTTGTATGAACATGTTGACGGCATACATATCGCGTTGCTTAATTTTTTGCGTCAATATTTGTGCATACAATTTCTATTATGGGTATGCTTGAAATTGTATTACAATAATAATAATTATAATAATAATTATTGTTATTATTATTATAAATAATAAAAACGATAACTAATTAATTTTTTCAATCATTCGTCTTGTTGTTCATTCATCTAATAAGACATTTTTCATTTGAATGGCTTCTTTCCTTTGTTGATCACCTTCTCTCATTCAATCAATCCTTTTTTCATTTGCCATTTATTCTTTCTATCTGCCATTCATTTATCGAATATTTTGTTGGTTCATTTGTTCATTCTTTCATTCATTCATTCATTCATTTATTCAATCATTCATTCATTCATTCATTCATTCATTCATTCATCCATTCATTCAGTGCTCATTTTTTCCTTAATTTTTTCAATTCACCTACGCATTCATCTTTTGTTCATTGATTGATTGATAATAAATTAATTCACTTATTCATTTAGTTATTTATTCATTCATTCATTCGTTCATTCAATCATTCACTCATTCATTCATCTATTCATTCATTCATTGGCCAATTCTTTTTCAATCCGTCTATCCGTCTATTACTTCAAAACTAACTCGTTTCTTCTCAGTGGTAGAGTCACGTTCTGGAAAGAATGATGACGATGAATGAATGAATGAGTGAGTGAGTGAGTGAGTGAGTGAGTGAGTGAGTGAGTGAGTGAGTGAGTGAGTGAGTGAGTGAGTGAGTGAGTGAGTGAGTGAGTGAGTGAGTGAGTGAGTGAGTGAGTGAGTGAGTGAGTGAGTGAGTGAGTGAACTGAGCGAATGTATGAATGAATGAATGAATGAATGAATGAATGAATGAATGAATGAATGAATGAATGAATGAATGAATGAATGACGATGACCACGTTTCTACTTGGTTTGGCAGACACACAGGAATTCGCAAGCCGTACTGAAAACGTGATGGACGGATGGAAAAAATTGAAGAAGGAAGAAAAAAGAAATGAAATAATAGGCTGGAAATAAAATTTATTTTTTAAAAAAGTCGGTGAACAAACAAATGCAAAGAAAAATTTGATAAAAAACAGTGAAAATTTTTAATCGATTTTCTAGTAGGACAGAAAAGAGAGATAGGAAGCGAGAGAGAGAAATAGAGATAGAGAAAAAAAAAACAAGAGAAAAAGAGAGAGGAAAAAAAGAGTAAGGAAAAGAGGGTAAGGTAAGAAAGACAAAGTGAACGAAGACCGATTGAAAATGAAAAAGAAGCAGAGAGAGATAAAGAGGGAAGAGAGAATATATAAATATTTTTAAGGAGAAAAAAAGACCAAGAATGAAAATAAAATACAATAAAAGAAAGAGAGAAAGAAAGAGAGAAAGAGAGAGAAAGAAAAAGAGAGAGAGAAAGAAAAAGAGAGAGAGAGAAAGAAAGAGAGAGAGAGAAGTAAAAAACTCAGCAAGAGAACGGATTTTGATTGGAATACACTTGTGAGATGCGTTGGACACTATTGGACGGAGCTACGTGTGTATGTATGTATGTATGTATGTATGTATGTATGTATGTATGTATGTATGTATGTATGAATGTCTGTATGTATGTATGTATGTGTGTGTGTGTGTATGTATGTATGTATGTATGTATGTATGTATGTATGTATGTATGTATGTATGTATGTATGTATGTATGTGTGTGTGTGTATGTTTAGTATGTTTTTGTATTATTTTAGTTTCCAACTTGTACTATGGATTATCATATTACAATAAGCAATGTAACCAAATGCTTTGCAAGCCAGTCTAGTGTTTAACAACGTTAAGTGATGAATTTTAATGCGATACACCACACACACCTTCACACAAACACCTCCACACATACAAATTCACACACACACACACATATACATGCACACATACATACATACATACACATACACACATACATACACACATACATATAAACAAACATACAAACAAACATACAAACAAACATACATACGCACATAATAGGAATTAGTAGAATACGTCTTCCTCATAGTCTTCACTATCGAAGCCTTCATGAAGATCATTGCCTATGGGTTCGTCCTACACCCTGGCGCTTACCTCCACAATGGCTGGAACATTTTAGACTTCATCATCGTCGTTGTCGGGTGAGTGAATGAGTGAGTGGATGAGTGAATGAGTGAATGAACCAACTAATTAATCATCCAATCAATCAATCAACCAATCAACCAACCAACCAATCAATCAATCAATCAATCAATCAATCAATCAATCAATCAATCAATCAATCAATCAATCAATCAATCAATCAATCAATCAATCAATCAATCAATCAATCAATCAATCAATCAATCAATCAATCAATCAATCAATCAATCAATCAATCAATCAATCAATCAATCAATCAATCAATCAATCAATCAATCAATCAATCAATCAACCAATCAATCAACCAATCAATCAACCAATCAATAATTCAATCAATCAACCAACCAAACATTCAACTAATCAACCAACTAATTAACCAACCAATTACTCAACCAATTAATTATTTAATCAATCAACCAATCAGTTTATTCAGCGTAGTACTACCCACATTCAACATAAATGCATTCGATGTGAAGGCTTTGAGGGCCTTCCGGGTTCTAAGACCCCTGAAACTTGTCTCCGGGGTCCCAAGTATGTAGAGAGGAGGGGGGTTAAGGGAATTTTATGGGGGTCCACTACCACCATTATCATCATTATCAGGTTTGCAGGTGGTGCTTAACTCGATTCTGAAGGCCATGGTTCCTCTCTTCCACATCGCCCTGCTGGTCATCTTCGTCATAATCATCTACGCCATTGTCGGCCTCGAGTTGTTCTCTGGCAAGTTAAGAAGCACATGCTACGTTAATAACACGAGTGAGTTGTGATGATGGTGTGGCGTGGCGTGGTGTGGTGTGGTGTGACCTGGTGTGGCGTGGCGTGGCCTGGTGTAGCGGTGGTATGAGAAACATGTGATGATGGTGAATAAGTTACTCATAAAAAAGTCATTAGTGTGTGCGTGTGTGTGTGTGCGTGCGCGCGTGTGTGCGCGCGTGTGTGTGTGTGGGCAATCACTTCAGTAATACTTATTTTTAATAACTTTCCCCTAAAGAAACCTTTGCCCTTGACCCGCCCCACCCCTGTGGAAAAGGTTACGAGTGCAAGGCCGAAAAGAATCAGGTCATGATGACGATGACGATGATGATGAAAATGATGATGACGATGACGATGACGACGATGATGACGTAATTTTTCTAGGTCTGTCTAAAAGGCTGGATTGGTCCTAACTTCGGAATAACGAACTTCGACAACATAGGTACTTTTGTGATGAGGATGAAGATGAAGAGATGATAATTACGATAATTATGACTATAATAATTATAATTATAATGATTATTATTATTTATTTAATTATGTTAATTATTATTTACACAGGTCTCGCGATGTTAACTGTCTTCCAATGCGTTACAATGGAAGGCTGGACGTCTGTTATGTATGATGTGAGATTTCTTTTTCAGTCGTTTTGTCACTCTTTTTGTCATTTATTTAGTTTCATTCATTCATTTCATCCTTTATTCATTCATTTATTCATTTTTTCATACATTCATTCATTCATTCGTTTCATTCGTTCGTTTGTTCATTCAACCAATCAATCATTTAATCTTTAACTCATTCTCTAGCTTACCTAGACGACAGTCATTCTTGCAATCAATCAAACATTTATCCACTCACTCACTCATCCAATCATCCATTCATTCATTCATTAATTCACTCACTCATTCACTTACTCACTCACTCACTCACTCATTCATTCACTAACTCACTCACTCAGATAAACGACTCAGTAGGCGGAAGTTGGCCGTGGATTTATTTCGTCAGCCTCATCATCATTGGCTCCTTCTTCGTCCTTAACCTTGTACTTGGTGTCCTTAGCGGGTGAGTGCTGATGATGATCATGGTGATGATGATGACGATGATGATGACGATGATGATGATGATAATAATGATGATAATGATGACGACGACGATTTTTTTTTTGAGTAAAAGAGCTAATTAAGTTTTGAGAATAAAATGAGTCTGGCTCAGTGCTTTTATAAAAAAAAAATCTATGAATAAATTTTATTTATAGTCTTTTGTTCTTCTTATCACTGACGTCATTATGTTTATTTTCGTCATAAACGCTTTATGTGTGTGTGTGCGTGTGTGTGCGTGTGTGCGTGTGTGTGTGCGTGTGTGCGTGTGTGTACGTCATCATCGATCCCGTTCACGTCATCATCAACATCATCATCATCACCAGCGTATTTTGATATTCTTATCATCATCATCACCACCGTCATTGTCGTCATCATCTCCGCTACCATCTTCATCATCA